CTGAATGAAACACATGATTACAAGTTTCATTTCCTGGGGAATCACCATGCAAACACCAGCTTTCCCTATATAATGGCAGCCTCCATCCCTCCGCTGCCCCTCCCAACCCGCCACACACATTCTTATCAGTGAAGGATAATTCAGAAGGCAGTGGTACATTGCAGCAGTGGCTTGGAAATGGTTTATGTTAGCTAAATTAGGAAATCCAACTCCAAACCTATCCCAAAGGCTTTCTTTAAAAAACACACTAAGTTTAAATAAATATTCTGCTGAAATGCTGCCTGGGGTCTTGACGCTCTGCACTTGATTTATGTAAGAGAAGAGCAAAACACAAACAAGGGAAGCTTAGTATACTGAAAGATAAGTCATTACAGACACTACTTAACATACCCAGAGTGTCACACCTGAGTTATGTTAGCTGGTAACTGTGCCACCTTACATTTTGAAGGTTGCCAAAATATAAGGAAGGATTGAAAAATATTAGTACCTGCTTCCTAAACATGCCAAAGCATTCTAAAATATTCTATGGATAATGGCACTGTCAGCAAAGGAAGGACAAGGGGGAAAAGGACATCGTTGCCTAGTTAGGGGACTGAATTTGAAATACAGGGAAAGACCTATATGTGGAATTCTGCTGAATCCCCAGGTTTGAAAGGATCCAAGCTCTAGAAGTGAAGCTCCACTAGTGCTGGTTAGCTTTTACAAAGACTGCCACTCAGGTATCCAGATTAAGTCCTGATGTGCATACTTGCCCATCTGGTTCTCAGTTCCAGAGACAGCAAAGGTTTGGACGAATTTGGCGTCCTGCTATTCCAGATTTTCCGTCTTACTCTCTTTTTCCCAAACAATACAGATGACTATGGAATCACCATGATTCATGGACTCCCTACCCGATGAAGAAAGCATTATTTTTTCTTGAGCAAGATTTTGGGGACCAGTTGGGTGACTGAGGTGATTTTCTTTGTGAAGATGAGAAAGGGAGTGGCATCTACTTCTCACCCCTGAGCTTAGCATCCTTTGCATTTAGCATGCATTCCTGAATAAGGAAGTAAAGAGGCAAAGAAATAGAGAGGCAACAGTGGCATGCCAGGAGTTTCAGGCCTATCCACATGGTTTCACAAGAAACCTTGTGTAAGCTCTTTTCATGAACTTTAGGCAGAAAGGGCACTCTCCAGAAGACCTGGTGCTCCGTTCCCATAAACAAATGATCAAAGAGAATAGTTGTGGGTTTTGTATGTGTCCACTCTCACTCCTCACATCCTTCTCCTCTTCAAGCTAAAGGGATTTCTTTATATTCACTTCATACATTTCAACTTGTGAAACCATCTATTTGTGGTCTTTTAAAAGAAAAGTTGTCTTGACTGCCATTGTTATTGTTGTGTGTCTATATTGTTCTTGATTTATGACAACCCTAAGGCCCCTTCTACATTGCCATATTTCCCAGTTCAATCAGACTATCTGGATTTTATATGGCAGTGTAGACTGATAAATTTATCACATGATATACCTAGCAAGATTTGTTCAGAAGGGGTTCCCTTTGCCTTCCTCTGTGACTTGTCTAAAATCACCCAGTGGATTTCTATGTCTGAGCAGGAACTTTAGTCCTTGTCTCCAGAGCTGTCATCCAGCACTCAAACCACAATGCCAAGCTGGTATCTATTGCCATCGTTATGTGCATTGAAGTCATCTCTGATTTATAGCAATCCTGTTTTAGCAAGGCTTATTCACTGGAGAGTTCAATTGCATTTCCCTTAGCGAGTGAGTGTGCTTTGCCCAAGATCATCCAGTAAGTTTCCTTTGTTGATCATACATTCAAACCCTGGTCTACCAGACTTCTACACCAACACAATTCACCACAACAAACTGTTTCTAAAAATCATACAAATATAATTAAAATACAAAAATACAAATAATTTCTTTTATTAGAGGTTAAATTATTGCCTTGCCAACACTGCATACGGTGAAATGGAAGTGCTTTCAATGATTACAAACTATTACAAGGATCCTTAGAAAGACCCTTGTCCAGGGGACTCTCTTTAAACTTTTCATCTGGTTTCGTTGAGAAAATCTTTCTCAAAACTATTGCCTAGCCAATGAAGCCAGTTATAGGATATGTATTTTGATTATAATATATAGACAAAAATACCAACTTCAAATGGGTCTACATTTATCACTCTGCAAGATTATAGGCATGCAGATATAATTTGTGGAATATTAGCAAGGATAAACGGATGTATAGAAGTTAACTTTCAGCAGCAACAAAACATTAGCACACTTTTCATGCATGTATGCATTTTAATTTTGGGGTTTCTAGTCAACCTTTCTCCTAGTGCACAACCCAAGGCAGCTTAGAGCATGAATTAAAACATGAGTTAGTCATTTAGGCCCTAACTACTGGGTGCAAAAAAAGGGAGCAACTTATTGTAATTCTTCCTTGATTCTTCCTTAATTCTTCCCTGTTCATTATGTTAGCCACAACCACCTTAGGCTACCAGCTCTTGAATGAAATACTTCCTTGTAGGTGCATGACACGGGCCCATGATACTAGAATTTAAAACTCGTTAGAAAAAACTTTGGCCATTATCTGTAACACTAATCGATTGATTTATTTAGATTTATATTATATCACATCTCAAGCTGCACTAATATTTTTCAAGGCTATAGTATCATTGACCATGTGCTATAGCCAGGCCCGTAGCCAGGATTTTGATTCGGGGGGGGGGGGGGGGGGGGGGGGGGCTGAGTCTGAGTGGAAGAGGGTCTACCCTAGCAAACCTTTTGTATCATTACCCCAATACCCCCATGCATATGGGATATATTGAGCATGGTGATCAGATCATGATATGAATAAACATAACAGTTTAAATAATGTACCAGTAAGGCCTTTTCGCCGACCACCATGAGAATTGGGGGGGGGGGAGCTGAAGCCCCAACCCCACCCCCCCCCCCACCCCCCGGCTACATGCCTGGCTATAGCTATTTAAGCACTGTTAGGCCCTATGTTGAAAATATGTATTTCTTTCTTTCTTTTTCTTTCTCTCTCCATTTCCACAAATCTTTCCATCTGAAGAGAAATGGAGAGGAAAAACTTACTGCTCATTAAACTATTGCAGTGACCATTTTGGTTTTTTCCCTCCTGGAATGCTATTCTGAGATGTAGCTCTGGAGTTAGAAATGACAATTTCCTTGAAAATGGTTCTGCCTTTACAATCCTATGGGTGCTGCAATAATGATGGATTAATTAACAGTTGAATTGCATCTGGTGCTACTCGCTGAAATTCACTTTCTCAAAAGGTGGCCAGATATAGAAATCTATATTGTGTGTGTGAAGAACATGGAGAAACCTATTGCCCATGTATTGACGGTGTATGCCGTCAATTTGCATATCGATTTACAGTGACTCCATGTACTTCTTAGGGTTTCCTTATTTTTTTAAAAAAGGAAAGAAATACTCAGAGGTAGTTTTGGCAATTCCAGCCCTGTCTAAAACATAGCTTACTGCATACGGCATTCATTGGCAATCTCCCATTCTAGTACTAATCAGAGTTAACCAGGTTAGCCTCCAAGAACAGACAGGACCAGGTGCCCTTAGTACAGTGGTTCTCAACCTGTGGATCCCCAGATGTTTTGGCTTTAAATTCCCAGAAATCCTAACAGCTAGTAAACTGGCTAAGATTTCTGAGAGTTGTAGGCCAAAACACCTGGGGACCCACAGGTTGAGAACCACTGCCTTAGGGTATTTAGACCCTATACTTCCCATAACTACAATATGCCAAAATATGTGTGTATGTTGGTTGGCTTGCACCACAAAGCCTCCTACATAGCTTGATGGATCTGAAACAAACTTAGCACGCATATCCTTCATTATCTAACTGGAACCCCCAGTGGCACAGTGGGTTAAACCCTTGTGCCGGCAGGACTGAAGACCAACAGGTCGCAGCTTCGAATCCAGGGAGAGGCGGATGAGCTCCCTCTATCAGCTCCAGCTCCTCATGCAGGGACATGAGAGAAGCCTCCCCACAAGGATGATAAAACATCAAATCATCCGGGCGTCCCCTGGGCAACATCCTTGCAGACGGCCAATTATCTCACACCAGAAGCGACTTGCAGTTTCTCAGGTCGCTCCTGACATGACAAAAAAAAATATCCAACTCCAAAAGGGAAAGGAAGGAAGAAGGGATGAAGGAAAGAAAGGAAGAAAGAAAAACAAGAGAAGGGAAGGAAGAGAAAGCAAAGCAAAAACAACAAAGAAGAAAGGGAGACAGTATATGAGGGAACACAAGGGAAGAATCACAGCCAAATAGAAAATTTCACCGGGTGGAATAATTTCTCAATGGGGACCAATCCCCTCATTTTGTCCCTCCAACCCCTGTCAATAGATATAGCCCTTTCTCTTCAGAGACACTTTTCTTCTGATGTCCTTATTATTTACATCAACACCGTTTGTAGCATGATTAATGTTAGCTCAGTCCCCTCCTTGTCCAGGAGTTCAAGCTGTTTAACAAACTGAACTAGCATTAAGCAGTGTTGACACCAATGTGAAAGCTTGATTATGGTCAAAGTCAGCAAGGCCATATTTTGTTGGAGAGATGGGAGAAAAAACATTTCAGCCTGTATGCAAATCTAGCATCGGGTTATTAAATAGATGGCACTCAAAAGTTATCTATGTAAGAAAGACAAAACAAAATGCATGTACAAATTTCATCCAGAATTTTATCATAACACAGTTTTTTAAAATCTCCTAAAGTGGTGGTTATCAACCTGTGGGTCCCCAGATGTTTTTGCCTTCAACTCCCAGAAATCCTAACAGCCGGTAAACTGGCTAGGATTTTTGGGAGTTGTAAGCCAAAACACCTGGGGACCCACAGGCTGAGAACCACTGTCTTAAAGGAAGGCAGTTGTCATGATGAACACAAATGAATTCAGCCCTCACCCCATCTTCACCACCCGTTCCATAAGGAAATGTTAAAGGCAGAACACTAAACAGGGAAAATAGTTACCTTTCAACTCTCTGAAGAAGTCTCCATCAGTTAACCTACAGGAGCTCTTCACACACCAGGAGAAAAAGGAGAAAGGAAGCCGAGAACAAGGCCTGTATCCACAATACACAACGTCTTTCCTGAGGGAAAAAAAAAAACACAATTAGCCACCATATTTCTGATGGAGAGTATGATCATCCTTAAATGTGAGAAAAATCACACAAACACAGACAGGTTTTCAGGTCTTTCAGTTTCCCAATTACATTAGAAAACACATTAGCACAAACCTCAACACATTAGATTGAAATATTAAACATGAAGTTGATATGTATATTGCTAAAGCAAATTCCAGCTATTTGTTTTAGAATTACTTTGCAAATTTGACATTGACTACCTCCAGCCAGTAAGAGAAACTAATGTCTCTTTATTGCAGAGATAGTAAATTTACATAGCCTTTTTTATATGCAAAGAGTGTCATGACCATAATCTGAGTCATTCCTTCCACAATCTTTCCAAGGCATCACTGTAATTCTGATTGTACAGATGGGGAAGTGAAACATAGTTGTAGTGTCTTTCTCAAGGCCACCCAGGGAGATCCTCCAAACCTACCATTCTAACCAGGGAGCCAGAGTGACAACTTTATTCAACTTGCCAAACCTGGTCTGTGTTAACATAATAAAAATGTGAGGAAAGGATGAGTGAGACACCATAAGCAGTAATATAAGTAAAATATACCCTTCTGAATTTAGTTATCTTTAGGCAACATTATGATGGGAAGTCCTCCATAACCTTAAAAAAATACAGAGACTTGGGTAGTCACACCAGTTAATAACTGATGTGCTAGCTAAATCTGCAGTGCTAAATATTTGCAAATTTACCTCCCCATCTATCAAGAAATAAGAGAAGGAAGAATAATACAAAGTATATCCACATAGTCTTCAAGATTCTGTAGAAAAGGGGACAACCCAAAAGGAGAGATGATTTCTGTAGTTATTTCATGCTGATACTATTTTAATCTTGATTATGTATGTTTTCGATTCTGCTCTGTCTTTTGCAAACCCCCTCAAGGCCTGACCTGGGGAAAAGACTAGCTATAAATAAACTGATGGATAGGTGGATTTTATGTGTGTTGAGAGAGGTAGTTAAGTGAGTTATTGTAAGCTGGCACAGCTATTTGGCACAGTTATTGACACTCATTCACCCCATCCAGGCCCATCCACACTACAGCCCAGAAGAGAGTCCATGGCAACTGTAAAAGCGTTGTGGTTTTTGAAGATTTTTCACATTGGGAAGAAAATGGCTAAAACTTGTCATTATTTTTCTCAGCAGAAATTACATGTCTACAAAGTTGCTGAAAACTCCAGGATCCTCAATTCCCACAAACAGATTTTTACTCTCAGGTTTTCCCAGAGCAAAAGAATGATTTTGAAACCAAATTAGGACCGTAAGGTAGATATTTCTTCACATTTTTTCTTTCTACATTGTTGCTACTGTTGCGCAGCAAGCAGATCTTAGCCACGTCCCATGCACAAGACTCACAGACACGAGTCAAAATGAACAGAAAAAGATTACTCTTAATATCAGAGATGAAACACAAACTTGCAATGTTGCATACAAAAACAAACATTGCAAGAATAGTCTTTGTAACACAAAATAAGGCATCTTCCTCTTCAGTCAAATGAGAAAGCAAAACATAATCCTTGAGCAAACAGCTATTCTACCATAGCCTCCTTTAGAGCAGTACAACAGCCTCCCTCCAAACTGCTCCTCAGAGCAGAACCTTTGAGCATAGATCTCCTCAGAAAAAAAGCTTTCCAGAACTGTATTCTAAAAACCCATACAGTTATACCCTATCAGGTGTGGTCCAAGATTGCTGGTTGACCTACATTACTAGCTGCCCATAATAATTGCCATCATAAGGTTTTTCTTCAACACACAAACACACTTGGTCCTGCTACAACTTACTGTAACAGTTACCTGAATGATCCAGTTGTCCCCAACATTCAGATCCAACACCACTGATTGCACAAGCATAACAACATCAAAATTGGTGGGAATTATAGGGCTTGCTAGATCACTTATATAGAACATCATTATAATTATAATTATCCAAATAAATAATGGGAGATAGTGCTACTGTAGCCAGAACATTACTCCAGCATGCACACACTCATGTAAACACATACAGAATAGTGACAGATTTCAAGGAATCCAGTGGGCATGCCCTCTAACAAAACCACACAACTCAATGAGGGCTGAGCACATTTTTGCAAGTCCTACATGTTAATTCATTTTTCCTCAGCTTGCCAGAATATGGAAGTTCAGCTTGGTTTGACATGCACCTATGCATGCAGACAGCCAGCTTACCACATGTAAGCAAACAGAATTAGAGAGCGGTGTGTTCAGCATGGCAAGAGAACCCAAACATTCAATCTAATCAAATTTAAGTGATAACTGAAGAGAAAACAGCTGTGCTCACAATCTCTCTACAAAGATCTACAACTGTAAATTTTTTCTAATGGGTTTAGCCCAATCATTTTCCTAAGCCATACCATTAGCAAAAACAAGCCTGCAGCCAGAGCAGCATGAGCCAGGATTTCATTAGAGCTCACGTGGAGCACAGTAATTTCTGGACACTACTTGGATCCAGTGAACCAAAATTAAACCAGGTACTTCTGAAGGTGGGTTTGGTTGCCCTGAAGATTTGCTTACTCAGATTTACAGCCTAGTATAACTTTATATGATCATTGCCTCTTACAAAAGTATTATTTTGATAAAGCACTAAGAATATATACAAAAGCTGCATACAGTTCACTAAAGCCAAGTTTGAAACCAACACTTGAAGAATAAATGGCCAAATCAAAAATACATTTGAAGAGGCTCTTAAGATAGACTTCAGGGTGGCTTACATTGATACTAAAGTGGAGAAAATGCCATTAAGAACCCCATAAAGCTTATCCTCAGGTCATATTAGATGTACAGTCGGCTCCCTGTATTTGCAGATTTGACATCTGTAGATATGATTATTCACAGGTTTGTCACTAACCCTCCAAAGGCTTTATCCCCTGTCTCCTAGAGCCCAAGGCTGCTATGTACACATTCGCACAGCAGCCTTGAATTTTAGGAGGGGATAGTGCCAGTGATCATGGTAGTTGTGGCCACATGCCTTCAATGCTGATACAGCTTTGGGCCTGGGGTTGGGTGCTATTATTTGTCATGTCAGGAGCGACTTGAGAAACTGCAAGTCGCTTCTGGTGTGAGAGAATTGGCCGTCTGCAAGGATGTTGCCCAGGGGGCACCTGGGTGATTTGATGTTTTTATCATCCTTGTGGGAGGCTTCTCTCATGTCCCCGCACGAGGAGCTGAAGCTGGTAGAGGGAGCTCATCTGCCTCTCCCTGCATTCGAACCTGCGACCTGTTGGTCTTCAGTCCTGCCGGCACAGGGGTTTAACCCACTGCGCCACTGGGGGCACCGGGGGTCGGGTGCTGAACCAGAACAATGGGCGACAAGGCCACATAGGGAGAGTGAAGTCTCTTTCCTCCCACATCTACTAGTTGCAGCTTCTGCTGTCCCATTTCTATTAGCTGTGGGGAGGCTTGCCCATCCTCTTTGACCCTTTCTCTGCCTTGCCCACATCTCTGTTTCTCTACCCTTCTATATGGCAGCAGAGTTCAGGAAAGTACCTGAGGCCATGAGCATGCAGGGAGCCATGCCTCTTCCTTCTCTTCTCTGCAGCATTGATAGAAATATCAAGAAAATGAAAGAATTTAGAAGGTTCACCCATTAGTTGTTAATCAGACAGGTCGGCCTCTCTTATGCTTAGAAAAATTGACACTCTAGCATCATCTTGCCAGAGGCAGAATAACTGAAGACATCATTGAGACTACATGGCACACATTTTTAATGTATATATCCAATGCAAATTTTGACCATTGTTGAACCATATTGTGTTTTGGAAGCTATAATGACATACATGGATTGCGGTCTGTTTTTGTCATTTGTGATTGTCTGAGTGCATTTCAAATTGTCTGATTGTACCTGGAAAACTGTCTGTCATGGGGTAGAGCAGGTGGGAAAATATCATTATATGCATCTATGTGTAAATTTGAATCAAAGACGCATAGAGTTGGAAGAGACCACATGGGCCATCTAGTCTAACCCCCTGCTATGCAGGAAAAGCACAATCAAAATACTCCTGACAGATGGCCACCCAGCCTCTGTATAAAAGTCTCCAAAAAAGGAGCTTCCATCATACTGTAAGACAATGAGTTCCACTGTTGAACAGCTCTTATGTTGAAGTCAGTTTCCTGTAATTTGAACCCACTGCTAGTCTCCAGGGAAGCAGAAAAGAAGACCTGGTCCCTCCTCCTTATAACATCCTTTCAAATATGTATACATGGCTATCATGTCTCCTCTCAACCTTCTCTTCTGCAGGCTAAACATACCAAGCTCTTTAAGCCACTCCTCATAGGGCATGGTCTCCAGACCCTTGATCGTTTGCGCTAAAAGTTCCAGTTCATCTTATTTATTTTTCATGCTCTGGGCATTAGTATGAAGACATTTAAGCCCATGGGATATTTCCTGTAGCTGTTTATTTGAAATTATTGTCCTCTTGCTGCTTAATATTTGTTCTGTTTGTCCAACTCTCTCTTTACCCTTAGGGCTGTTCCTTCCAGGCCTTGACAAACTACTGTTCCCAAGGATATTGTCACCCTCCCCCACACAACATAGTTTAAAATCTGCTTGATCAGGTTTTTGAGACTCAGCAAAAACATTCCTTCCAACTTCTGTGAGGTTCAGTCCATTCCATGCCAAAAGCCCATCTTCCTGAAAAACAGACCAGGAAGTTAAATAATTTTTCCTGACAATACCTGTGGAGCCGGTTTGTCACCTCTACTATTTTTCTCACCCTCCCTGGGCTGCATCATGCAACTGGGAAGAGAGATAAAAAGAGAACCTGTACATTAAGATCTCTTAGCTTTCTTCTTAGAACTTTAAAATCCTTTCTGATTTTTTGAAGTATTGCAGTATTGTTGTTTCTTACATGAACCAACCTTGCAGTATTGTTGTTTCTTACATGAACCAACAGGAGTGTGGTGGTCAGTAGGCTTGATGAGTCTCATTAGCCAGTCAGTTACA